ATTTTGCTCTTCTGTAAATGAGAAGCAAATTTCTTCATGACTCTGGTTAAAGTCAGGAATGTTTTAACCAGATTCTTCTCTATAGAGCATGGTCAGTGCAGTGAGATGTGATGTTGTGTACCTGAGGAAAGTCTGGATTGTCTTCAGTGTTGAGAAGCCCCTCTCAAATTCAGCTGTGGTCAGAGGAGATGTGATGAGAATATTCAGCAGAGTCACAGTGAAGCTGTCCTGCAGATTGTTCTCCATGAAGAGCTGGTACAGAGCCACAGCACCAGCTCCTGAACTAGATCAGACTTCTTGGTCCTGTTCAGCACAGGGTGAGCCTCCATAGGCTTCAGAGCTGCTTCAGAAAATTGTCTGTGATCCTGCAGGAACCTGTCTGCCTGCAGCAGTTTACTGCTCAGATACTTTGTGAATGGCTCAAGATAATCTCACAAACCTAAAACAATAAATGCACAAATTTAATTCAATATTAACAAGTGAGATTTCTAATATATATTTATTATATAGAGAACAATTAATGTTATTTTAATAACAACAAATTGTTGCACCTCTAAGGTAAATTATTAATTATATTTTTATTTTAAAAATGTATTCATTTTATTAAAAAACAAAATAAACTATGCACAACAGAAGAAAAACTATAAATAAAATGAAAGGCAGCAGTAAGAAGAAAATTTCTTCTAATATCTGCCCATTTTCAAGAATAAATTCAAACAATAGTAATTAACAAAAAACAAAACTAAACAGAAACAACATAAAAATATCTTCATATTATATGAAGTTGTGTTCACATTATTTATATTATATGCTGCTCAAATATAAAGAGAACACCAACACAATCTAACTACACCACGTTCTTGGTCAATTGTTATTATGTTTGGCTTTTCCAGTCCAASCTCCTTCATTTCAAGTTTCTCCTCATATGGTCTGCTTTGAAAAGGTTTAGCTATAAGGGACTTAACTGTGTTGTTTTTCTCCTCCATTTTTTCAACTAGTTTGTTCTCCAAAATCTGTCTCCAAAATCCGCCTCGTGATCTCTGCCTGCCGGCTCTCACACTAATATGACATCTTTGAGTTGTCAACACGGGGCGAACCCACACTATCGCTTTGTGTTCGCAGCTGACCTGCGAACACAGGACACTCTATTCTTTTGCATTGAGGACTTACTGTGCATGACCATAACCTTCGCATGAGTTATGTATGAGAATCTGGGATGCAGAACACAGCGTGACCGGGAAGTGACTCACACGAAAACATTCATGAGTAAAATGGAAGTTTACACATCAATAACTATAAATTATTTATTTTGCTTATCAGAAAACATATATAAGATATATTGTTGAAACATTTATAACATTTTATTTTGTTATTTTCTTTTCTTTTCTTTTTGTGTACCAAAAATACAGGGGGAGGCGGCAAACGTGCGGCCTCTATTGACCAGCTGCCACTGCCTCTTCYACCCCTTTTTCTGAGGTGTGTCTCAGATCAACTCGTTTTGAGGCTGTCTCTAYCCAAACGAGGCACTTCACACCTCGCCCCCTCCAACTTCCAGACTGGTTCATTCTAGTTTGATAGAGGGGTTTACGGCTRTATAGCTGCATAGAAACATTTTTATTTAAACTTCTACAGACTCCAAGTACACAACAAAGTGCATTTATTGGCTTAAAAAGTGGATTTTTCATGATATACCTCCTTTAAAAAGGTGGCAAATATTCATGGTTACAAAATGGTTCTCCATCAGAAAATGCTTCACTTTTTATCTAAAATGGTTCCAGTGAGAAATCAGTTTCACGTGCTAATTCCTCAAGCAGAAAAAGCAGTTTAAGAAGGTTTTAAAAAAGGAACCCTTACAGTTCCCTCTGTATGCTCTATGAGATACTGAGCCTGTAGATCTGAGAGGWACCATAAGATCACTGAGCACCAGAGGAGCCTGTCCATTGAGGTATTTAAAGGCACAGTGAGTAGGATTTGTTGTTTTCAGYGACATCTAGTGGTTGAGTGGTTGAATCATCCTCTCTGGTCCTCCCCCCACCCCCACCTCCAGCTTCCAAACACAAAGGAGTTGCTACGGTGTCTCTCAGGTGTCAAAAACCTTTGATAATTCCAACCGTGATGTCCACCAGCAGCTTCAGGGCTAGTGATGTTTCAAGTGGTAAGATTATGAGCTTTAATAAGTAAAATTATACCAGCTATGTTTAAATGCACAAATTTTTTTTTAATCGGATTGAAATGTATTCAGATTAAATAATCCGAATGTACTGTTTACATGGACACAAACCGATCATGAAAAGTGTTTAGTTTTATTCAGAATAAAAGTCCGGACATGCGCAGTGTTGTAAACGTTCAACTCTACTTCCATGTTACAAACATAAACAACGCTCCTCTGTGCGCTCAGATTGGACCCGTGTCAGCTTTTAATAACGGTAGAGACGTCGTTACTCCTCGGTTGAGCTGCAGCCAGCAGATGAAGCAATACGTGCTTTTTATTTTTATTTTTTGCAAAGCAACGTCTGCTGTTTGCCTCCTTTTTCATCTGTTAAGAGAGTGAGGAGGAAAAGTTCTCCATGGTGCTGTGCAGCTGGAGCACTGCTGTCCCACCGGGTGAATGAAAGTCAGCAGACATGCGCACACAGGTCAGTTTTCTACAATCAGAATAAGATGATCAGATTAAGTGTTTACATGAACCTCATTCCGATTATCAATCGGTAAAACCCACCCTTTTCATTCGGATTAAAAATTCATTCGGATCTAATTCAATTGGATCAGAATAATCGGAACGGGCTGTTTACATGACRCATTTTTATTCTGAATGGCTGTTTAATCCAATTACTTTTGTCCATGTAAACGTAGCTAATGACAGTCAACAAATATTACATTTATAGTATTACAACTAAAACCATTTTTGACGCCGCCACCGCAGTTTGTCCTTCATGAGCCTTTGTAGACAAGATGGTGGTGCAAGATGGCGGCTDCCTGTAGTGGTGACCCRCGACCATGGAGATATAAACAGCTTTTTATAAGGTAAAAATAATAAAACAAGGTCTTTGTCTGCAATGATTAGACATGTTTTTTATTATTGTCATTAGTGATTAYCTCAATTTCRGCTAAAAGAATTGACAAAATCCTACACACTGTGCCTTTAAAAACGAGTGTTAGTTTGGAGAATTTGACAAAKATTTCAAAATTCATCATGTTAAGTTTCTTAAGAAAATGGCAGTGATGTGATCTGACGTCAAAGATCTTAACTGCTCTGTAATAAATCATTGGAGCTCAGCTGCTGCCTGAGACCAAGAGGCTACACAATAACTTAAATGAGAAACAAATCACTGAGTGTGTGAATCTGTTGGCAGCATAAAAAAACAACCTCTAATTAATCTAAATGCGTGAGTCAGTCTCCAACTGTCTAAATTTGCTTTTGCTACTCCCTCTTATAACATGTTTTACATTTTAAATGAGAATCTAAAATTTAACCCAGATATTAAACTTCTGAACTCTGTTGACTATTGATCCTCGAGTTTCAAACCAAATCAGAGCAATTTTTCCAAGATTGTTCTTTTGAGGAAAAACAAATGTGACTTGTCATCACAAGAGCACTGTAGTTTGATTTCTGAACAGGAGCTCAAGACAGAAAACCACTCACAACAACTAAAACAATTGTTCAAGCCAAAAGCAGCTGAGGTACAAAAATAAGGCATGGTTTCTAAACACATCCACACAGATTGGCCTGATTGGTCACAAACGCTCCAAACTCAGAGTGACTGCAATAAAAAAAAGCACATTTGTGTGAATGCTTATCAAGCCTTCACTCTATCGAGATGATCCGTTTTTCTTCCATGCATTTTTCGGTACATTACTAATCCCACAATTTTTGTGCTATTTCAACATTTCATATCTCAAAACATTCAGCTCTTTCRGGATATTCCAGCTATGACTATTGGTATTTCAGCAACTTATTCCTTTTCAGATATTTGGCCTTTTTTTGGGCACTTTTTTATTGAAAATGAATAGAGCTGTTTTCAATATTCCTTTGAAATGTTATTAACCATTACTGCAATTTTCACCTTTTACTCTAGTTCTGCTTCTTTGCACTAATTTCATCCTACTAACTTCAAGTTTTTGTCTTGATGTCAGCTTCTTACTGCTTAATTCACCAACCAGATGCACTTCTAGTTTGCTAGTTGGTAGTATGCTTGTTAGGTCTCTTTTTTGTTCAAAGTGTGGTCTTTTTTATCCTTTATCCCTTATTACCTTGTTAGTGTCCTTTTAGTGCTTATTCTATAAGTATGGTTGTCTCTTGGCATTCAAAGTGGTCGGCAAAGTAAGAATTTCATTGCTCAGGGAAACATGGTTTCATCTGTGTATATATGACAATAAACACTTTCAATCTTGAATCTTGAATCTTCCTGCTTCTCTGCTGATTTAATCATTTCAGCTATTTTTAGCTAATTTTCAGCTCATTTAAGCTTTTTAATTACAAATTGCAGTTTTTACTATTCTTTTACCATCTATTGGCTAAATCCATCTTGTTTTGCTATTTTGTCTACAAACTTTCAGTATTTTTTGTACTGATTTTTCACTTATTTTCTTTTACTCCTAATTTCAGTATACAGTATCTGTTCAAATTGCACTGACATTAAWAATTTTGCTTGTAAACCTTTTCAGCTTTTCCAGCAGTTTTCAGCAAAAATCTTTTATCAATAAGCATTAACACTGTATTTTCATAGGAAATGCACGTACTGTAGTTTCTTAGAATTTATTTCCAAAGTGTCACCAACAGTGGCAACCAATAAATGCTTCAAGATACAAAGAACTGCCGTCTAGTGCCAGAACTCTCCTTCAAATTGCTTCTCTTGGCTCAATTAAAATGTTTTAGTTTTGAAAAGTGAGACTTCAAGTAGACAGATTAAATGTGTCGCTGGCAGATATTTAATTCATATTCATGTGTTTTATATTCAGCTCAAAAGCCTGTAAATAAATCATCAGGATGAAATGCAAATGCATTCACTTTTTTTGGATAAATAAAGCCAACAATGGAAAGTACACAGATGTTGTTTAGGAGCACAATTGGCTGTCAGAACAGAGCAGCATCTTCTTGAAGGTGTGCCTGAGCTCGGCGCTGCGGAAGGCGTAGATGGCGGGGTCTATGAGGGCGTGGCTCATCATCAGCACCACGTGCAGCTGGAACAGGGATCTGTAACACTCACAGTACGGGTTCATGGGGCACACCATGATGATGATGAGATGGAGAAAAAACGGCACCCAGCACACAACAAACGCTCCGAACAGAACGGTGAGCGTCAGAGCTCCCCTCATGTTGCTGCTCCACCTCTGCTGGAGTCCAGACTTCCTGACGTTGGGAAGAGCTGCAATGCTCTTGGCGTGGATGCGAGCCAACATGAACATGTAGACATAGAGGAAGCAGATGACCGCCAAGGAGACGATGAAGAAGACGACGAGGCAGATCATGACAAACTTGAAGTCAAAGAACGTCACCGTCAGCACGGCCAGCACTCCACACGTGGTCCAGATGGCTCCTAAGATGGCTCCAGTTCTCTGCATCGTCATGATGTTGTGGTATCGCAGCGCATGGAAGATGGTGATATAACTGAAAGTAAAGTAGTAAAATACAAAATTAGATTAAATGATCTTTTTTCTTCCAGGGTTTCATTTAAATAACTTTAGCAACAATATAGTCTGGACATATTGTAGCAATAAAATAGAAAACATATACGTGACTAAAAAGCATTTCAGGAGGAGATGATGGAGCTAAAAACTGAACAAGGAGCTTTACATTCAACAATTCTGCGACCATCCTTAAATATGTTCAGCTTTCTGCAGTCCCTCAGTGATTAATGAGGCTTTTCAGTAAAGCAAAAACTTGTGAAATTGGGGTGAAAACAGATTAATGTTTGAAGAGAAATTTTTTTCTTTGTGCATCACAGGATCAAAGATTCTACAGAAAATGAACACATAAACAACAGGATTTTTATTTATAACAGGCATGCCAGAAAGTTGCTAAAATGATTTATGTATCCACTGTCCAATTAAAATTACATTTTAGTTTGTTGATAAGTATGTCTGAATGATTTTAATTTTTAATCACGACTTCCATCTTCTGTAGTTTGTCCTCTGGTACCCCTGACTAAAGTCCAGTGCAACCAGTTCCCTCCAGAAGTCACAAATTTATTAAAGAGTCCACCTGTGTGTACTTCAGTAGTAGGGTGTATTCAGACCAGGAAAGTCCTTTGGTCCACTTGTTTGGTCCGGATCAAAAGTGGACTTTATTTTTTTTTTGTTTGTTTGGTGCGGTTTGCATTCACATTGTGCTTTTTTGCAAATGAACTATAACTTGTAAACAAAGCCACGAGTGTGACAATCATTGCTCCCATTGGACAGAAAGGATGGGGGCGGGACTGAGCCACAGACCCAGAAGAAAACATGAAAGTCCTGCATGCTGCGGTTCTGATGCGCACATTTATGCTGATAGTACAACTGCAATAGCATTTAAAATGTCAGAAGCAGCTAATTTAATGGTGGTTCCCTGATGATGTTCTAATTTTGGAGCGACGTCACGAAAATGTGTCCCGCGACCCAAAGGAGATGAGGTGCTCTTCGTGTTCTGACCCACTTCATGCTGCCAGCAGAGCTGCTAAGCAGGAGCCAATGAAACAGGTACTGTATGATTTCAGTTTATTTAGCTCAGCAACGGTGGCCTGTGAAGTCCAAAAATATGCATGTTTAATGCAGTAAGTTCGGTTAGAGTCCGGTCTGTATTCACACCAGAAGAGAACTGAAGTGAACCGCACCAGAGTTTGTTTGGAAACGAACCAAGACCACCTCAAAAAGCGGGTCTCGGTCCGGTTGTTTGATCCACACCAGAGTTCAAATGAGTGTATTCACACCTGCACAAAAGGTCCAGACCAATGCTGGAAATGAACTCTGGTTCGTTTAAAGCGGACCAAATTGTCAGGTCTGAGTACGACCTAAATCCAGTTGTTCTGTGCAAACCTCAGAGTTCAAATATTTCCATAATATAACTATTTGTCATTTATTTTTATAATCTAGCCTCTTTGGATGAGTGGCAAGCAGAAAAGCATTTCTGAAAGACGCAATGAGATGTTTGTTAACAGTTTGTCACACGTCCTGCAGAGGAATCAGAAAGTCCTTTATTTCACACTGTTTTCTTCCTCTTATCYGGGGTCRGGTCRCGGGGGCAGCAGCCTAAGCAGAGAGACCCAGACTTCCYTCTCCTCAGCCACTTGGACCAGCTAGTCCGGGGGGAATCCCAAGGTGTTCCCAGGCCAGCYGAGAAACATAGTCCCTCCAGCGTGTCCTGGGTCTTCCTCTGGTTCTCCCCCCAGTAGGACATGCCTGGAACAACTCACCAGGGAAGCATCCTAAACAGATGCCCGAGCCACCTCAACTGGCTCCTCTGGACGTGGAGGAGCAGCAGCTCTACTCTGAGTCCCTCCCAGATGACCGAGCCTCTCACCTTATCCTTAAGGGAGAGCCCAGACACCCTGCCGAGGAAAAACACTTCGGCCGTTTGTATCCGCGATCTCGTTCTTTCGGTCACGACCCAAAGCTCGTGACCATAGATGAGGGTAGGAATATAGACCGACCGGTAAATTGAGAGCTTTGCCTTCTGGCTCAACTCTCACCTCACCATGACAGACCGGTAAAACACACGCATCACTGCAGACGCAGCACCAATCCACCTATCGATTCGTGAACTGACCGTGAGATACTTGAACTCCTCCACTTGGAGCAGAACCTCTTTCCCGACCCGGAGACRGCACACTACCCTTTTCCGGCTCAAGACCATGGTCTTGAATTTGGAGGCACTGATCCTCATCCCGGCTGCTTCACACTCAGCTGTGAACCACTCCAGTGAGAGCTGGAAATCATATTTCACACTGTGAAGCTTTATAATCCTTGCAAACTTGTACTGTAAATCCTTGTTAAGTTTGTGGTTGTTAAATGTTCAAACACCTTTGTTTTAAAAATACCGATGCACCTCAGTAATCCATGAAGAAAAAAAAAATGAAGTAGGCCCTCTGGACGGGATTTCTTTAATGAAATGTTTCGTCTCTCCTCCAAGAGACTTCTTCAGTCTGAGGAGTTTCAGGTGAACTCAACCTTATAAGCACTGCCTCCTCATGGTGGACAAACAGGTTTAATGATGAAACTCCTCAGACTGAAGAGGTCTCTTGGAGGAAYGACTAAACGTTTCTTTAAAGGAGAACCCATCCAGAGGACCTACTTGTTTTTATTATACACTTTAAATAGTTTAAAATACAGTCCAAGTCCAGGTTCTGATTACATACCGGTCCACAGCGATAGCCAGGAAACTGAAAATGGAGCCCACAAAGGACATGCACAGCAGGGAGTCCATCACATCGTCCAGCTTGGTCTCAGATGGGCCTCTCTTCTCCAGCTGTCCCATGTCAGATAAAACTATCATCAGGTTCTCCCAGGTTTTGGTCACACTGGCAATAGTGTTGAAGGCAGCCAGGCTGCAGATGAAACAGTACATGGGTGAGTGGAGGTTCCTGTTGCGAATGACGGCCACCACAACCAGGAGGTTCTCAGCCAGGCTGACGGCTCCAACGACAAAGAAGACAGTGAAGGGGACCTTCACCTCAGGGCAGTCTGTTTGGTTCACTGAGACACCACTCATGGTTTTACAAGATGGAGTTGGATCTAGAGAAAAAGCTGACTAACATGAAAACTGCAGATATCTATGGTTAAACACTTGTTCACACCTGCTCCACCATGAAATTAGAACAGAATGATGTCAAAACAGTCATGTTAGGATTTCAAAATGTTGTCAATTATGAAGAAGTTTAATAAATGTAGCTGAACACTAAACATAATAAAAAGTTTAGTCAGTAGTAACTTTGCTCTTTAAATGTGTTGCCAAAATTGTTGTCAACTACAGAAATAATGCAGAGACATAATAGAAAGGAAGAAGCATTGCAACTTTTCAACAGTGACACAATAGCCAAACCTTTCCTCTGATGCTAAAATAAAACAGTATGGTGGATAAAATAAAGTTATTGCATGGTTAATGTAGTTAATTTGCCCGAGGAGAGTCTCTAAATGTGCAGAGGTTAACAGTTTATATAATCAAAGGCTTGCAGGGTGGCAGACTGAACAGGCGGGTTGATTTTTGGCTCAACCTTTTGGTAAGCTGCCTAAGGCTGCTTTAAATCATACATATTTGAAAACCTTCATGTATGCACAGCCCACATCAGGCAGCAGATGCTGGRACACATTCGGTTTCTGAGAGTCTCTTTGGGGTACAGGAGAGGAAGAAAGTAGGTTCACAAATGCTAAAGCTAATGCTAATGCTCGATGAGGGGAAACAGTTCAGGTTCCTCTAGTTGACAGTGGATTTTCTGAATAAAGTCCATCCTTTGTTTTCTAAAAGTAGTAATAACTAAGAAATAAAAGCTAAGGATAAGAGCAAAGTTGATTTAGCAAAGAATGTAAGACAAAATGCTTTTGTTTGCTTCGGTAACACTGCTATTATATCCTTCAGGGGTCACCAAAGCGAGCTCACATGAAGGATGAATCTGCAGCCTCAGAATAACAGACCGCAATAAAAAAAATAACACCGAAGCTGGCAAAATAAAAGATGTGTGTTAAAGGGGTAATAAAACTAGGACTGCTTGACATTTTGTGGGAGAGTATCCAGGTGGTTTGCTAACTGTCATCCGGCACAGTGTGACTAATTTTCTCAGGTAATCACCTGAATGAAGGTCACACATTTGGAGGAACTTCAGCAGCTGGCAGTTCTGTCTGCAGCTGCTTTGTGACAAAATGTCTTCTCGTAAATCCTGTTGGTGGTTTTATCACTGCCCAGTCATGTTTGTCACAGGTGTCACCTGTCTGTAATCCTTTTTTCTGCAGGTGTTTTGTGTGCTTTTTGTTGTTGTTTTTTCTTCAAATCTTCCAGTTGGTTTGTTATTGCCACAGGGGTTTACAGGATATTACAATGCGCTCGTCTAATCCGCCGTACTTTCTTCTCCATCTGTGCATCAACGTAAGCTGGATGCATCACCTGTGCAAAGAAAACAAAACGTTTATAAATTCCAACATGTCTTTTCTGCTCCTGCTAAATGAATAAACCACAGACTGTGTATGAATTCAAGAAGTTTCATTTCACCTTTAACTAAACTTTGAGCTGTCAGGATTCTTAGCAGAACTAATTAAAGAGGATTTCATGAATTTAACTTTTCTTTGATCTCTGTCTTCAATTCTAATCTCTAAAGCTGAAAGAAAAATGTATTCAGTGTTTTATGATAACCTCTTAACTATTCTTTAAATATCTTGAACAGAGTACAGTTTAAACCTGGGGTTCTTAACCTTTTTGACCTCAGGGCCCAAGTTGTTGAACATAAAGTGGCACGAGGCCCAGTCAGACATTACCAATGTATGGATAAAAATGATAATTATTCTAATTTAGATCTTGGTTTTATTTTTATTGTATTTACATCATAACTAAACTAGCATAACTAACATAACTAAATTAAATACACTTAGAGTTTAAAATAAAATTCCTGTCAAATAATCACAAGGCATGATTGTGACAAACATTTTTATATTGTAACCTGCCCATAACAATTATTTGAAAAAATACAAAGGTCAGTCAACAAACCACTCAGACTTATCAGCACAAAAATCTATATTTTTAATATGAACAATAACAAAAATAGACAATTCAAAAAAAATTAGGGGCAATAAATAAATAAAAATGTTTTATGTAAATGTTTCAAATAAAAAAAACTGTAAAAATAAATTTGATGAAGTACAAATGAAAATATAGCATTTTAAAACTTTTGCAACCAGAAGCTGCTCTTCATATTAGTGACAAACAATAACAGTAACAACAGCTTTTTGACAAGATTAAATTTTCTTTAAAATACATTCAAAATTTTTCAAAATAAACTACAAAATTAATCTAAATTGCAAATTAAAATATAGTTGTATCTGCAACTGTATTTGATAATGTTTTGAACTTTTAAAATATTACATGGTAAAAACAGAAGCTGCTCTTCATATTAGTGACAAACTTTGGTGTTTTTTGACGAGTTACTTTTATTGTTGCTTCGATTTTTCATTTAAAATAAGTTTCCATTCTCAGCAGGTTTCTAAGGTTCTTCTACATATTAAAAAAGTTGTTAAACAACTGAGTGGCGCACTACTGCTACTAGTGGTGAGAAAGTGTATTGCACCTTATTCAAAATCAATGCGTCCCACGGCCCTCTGTGGCCCGAAGTTAAAAACTGTTGTCCTTTTGAGGCCCTCAAGGTGGCGCTCCCGGCTCATGGGTTAAGAATCTCTGCTTTAAACAACTTGTTGCGAACGTGAAAACTGTGTATAAAAAAAGAATATATTTATCTGCAAATCTCGTAAACCCATATTTTAGTCACCATGAAACATAGTAAACATACAGTATAAGGTACTGTACCACTTTTAGTAAAACTGAAGGTCATTTTAATTTGATGGCAGTCATAAAGGGAGAGGGTCTTTCTCTTTACGGTCTGTAAACATGGAGGAACACATGAGACCATTCTTGGAGGATTGATTCTGGTCTGATAAGGGGTTCGAGCTGTTCAACAGTCCTGGGTCATGTTTGCCTGATTTTCTGTTTCAGGATGCACCAAATGTTCATTTAGACAAAGGTCTGGACTGAAGGCAGGTCAGTTCTGCACCCAGACTCTATGAAGTCTTGCTGTTGTAAAGGACACTGTATGATTTTCAACATCTCATCTTAATGAAATATGCAAAGCCTTCATTGAAGGAGTAGTCTAGATATGTTGTACAACTTGTACATTCAGTTYTGCACTGATGCTGCCTTTCCACATAAGCTGTCCATGCTATATACACTTGTGTAGCCAATACCATCARAGAGGCAGGCTTTTAAATGGTGCACTGATAACAGGCTTGATGGGCCTTTTTAGTACAGAGGAAGTGGTGTTTGTGGTACTTGGTCTCAGTTCACTTGAAATTAGCTTTGATTCAGAGGACACCCGTGGTTCTGGATAGCTTCTTATTTGTCTGATAGAGCTTTAAATAACATTAGTGGCAGGCACAGTGAACTGTGTTTACAGACAGTGATGTGTGGAAGTGTCCATGCATTGATGTCCAGAACAGAACCAGACAAGTTTTTAATGAAGTGGGCCCTGAGGGTCAGACGATCACGATCATTCAATTTTGACTTTCAACCTTTGAGTTCAGAGATTAATACAAAAATGTTAAAATCTTTGCATACCCAATTGTCTRCTGTTCATAATAATGAAAGTCTGTCCAGTTTACAGTTGAGGAAGATTAATTAGWGTTTCACTATTTTTAATGTTCTAAAACTGATATAGAGTAGCCACTGGCTGAAAAAAAGAATAAAAAAAAAACTACTAGACTCCCTCACAGTATTTTGAACACCATTTTTAAAGGGTTTTTAAAAAGAGCCTATTGGACAAACTTGCATGACAAAGTCAATTAGTTAACTTTTTTTAAGCATATATCAAAACTTTAAATATTTTAGTATTATATAGATAAACTAAGACATGTTCAGGAAATGCAGGAACATCAGAGCGGCACATCGGAAAATACCCCACAAAGGCCTAACATTTCTTAAAGGAACAGGGGTTCCTTTGGGATGGGTTTGTTTCGTCTCTCCTCCAAGAGACTTCATCAGTCTGAGGAGTTTCAGGTGAACTCAACTAAGTTCAGTGCCATGAGGACTGTGATCAKTTATRCATCAGGGAAACAAAGCAGCCGCTGTTGAAAAGAATGAGCCAGCACAGACGAGCTACAWCATCAGGCCAGAACAGTTTACACTCATCTACAGGCCAGCGGTCACTCTTTATGAAGATGTTCTCAACCTTGATAGAGAGGAACATTGGTTTGAGAGAGGAGTAAAGGAAGGCATCTTTGTGGAGAAAAACCATCCACCATTAAAYAGAGGTGGAGGCCTTTGTGTCCAGTTGTCCTCCTCCTACAATGCTGTTATTGCAAGTATGACTCAGCCCCCTGTGAGCAAAAGGTGTGAAYCAGGGTCCCAACAATAGTCAGGTGATGGAGCACATGACCCTCTATGAACAACAGAGCCAGTCAAGGCATTAAAGACCTATTATTTGGCTGATGGTCCTCTTTTGCATGTGGCCTACCTCTTTGTCCACCATGAGGAGGCAGTGATATAAGGCTGAGTTCACCTGAAACTCCTCAGACTGAAGAAGTCTCTTGGAGGAGAGACAAGACATTTCATTAAAGAAGAACCCRTCCAAAGGACCTACTTAACATTTTCTTTTTGATTTTTCTAACTGGATTATTGAGATGCATCAGGACATTTATACTAAGATCATCTCAAGATGGGAGAAAATTAAGTTGTAGACATTTTTCAAAATAACACTTTATAGACTGACTCTTAACATCACTTTGAGTTCTTTACAAAACTGAATTGTATTTCTAGTTACTTAGCTGGAGGCAAYCATGTGTTGGATTGGCTTCAAACGTTACTAAGTAAAGGATGAATTTATTATGATTTTATTCAAATCTGTCTCTTGGTTTATGAGATAGTTTGCTAAAACGACACACAAACAAAACCACAACTGCCTACATTTAGATTTTTCTGCAACAAGAGTTAATAAGAGCCAGATTATTTGAAATTTGCTT